GCTTATTAACATTTTTATTAAATTCCATTTATTTGAATTGTAAAACACGGTTCTCTCTCTCATTACCATAAACTGTTATAGCACCTGGAGCTAAATGCAGCACTTCACATTGACCTTTTGACCTTTGACACCGTGCCATTGACCTCTGACCTCTCCCCCCATAAACACAGACCTCCAGTTTTATAACCTTCTCAGACCACCTGACACACATTTACGAGGATGTTCTGACCCTTCCAACTACATTTGTCTTCTATGTTATTGATTAGCAAAAATAAACTGATTCAAATTCAAAATGTCATTTATTAGCAGTTGACTGGAAATACTTTTAATTTTTTTTGCTTCTTCTTTCAATCGAGTCAGTGATTTTGTTTCAGTGTGATTAAAAAATATATAATTACAGTATTCGGTGTGCAGCCTGCAGGCCTATTGAAAATGTATGTGATTTTATGCCATTAAAACAACTCTTACTTCATGGAGCTGCCTGGATTGAATACTTCTGACAGTATTAAATGATATCTACACAAACCACATTTTATTTGTAATGTTTAAAATAAAACAATCCCAAGAAAATAAGGAGTTGGACACACGTTACATTACCCCCTCCCTTCCCAACATGGCCACTGTCATCATTTGAATCTCCAGCCCCGGCGGTCACAGGCCCACTTCATTAACCTTGAGAGGGTTCACGTCTGCCTATCCTCCCAGTGATGTCATGTTCACAGATGGGGGGCCTTGTAGGGAGGTGTGCCAGTGTGTATGTGGATTTGACCAGTGCACAAGGGGGAGTTTGAGTGGTGCGGGGGTCCCATTTGTTTGTTTTGCCCTCCAGACGTGTCCCAGGGCAGATTAAGGGATTTAGCTCTAGGGGGTGGCACAGGAGGGACCAGAAATCCTCACCACATCTACATGCATGGTCTATCAACGCACTTAAGTACCAAAGAGGTCAAAGGAAGCTGACTCTTTTATGTCTGCTTTTGTTCTGGGTAAAAGAAATGGGTGTTGGAGAGGAAGAGCTAGTACGGTTAGACAAAATAAACTTAAAAATGGCACAGCATTAAAGGGTTAAAGACGATAATTAGTCATGTGCTGATGCTACGGTCCTAATCCCTAACTTCTTTAAGAACTTCTTAGTGAACCCAAAACCTTATAGCCGACTCAGCTACAGCTATGGTTTTCTGAGAACAGTTGATAAGAGGAAGTATGTGTCTGCCACTTTGCATGCTATAAGCAGGAAATTGCATTCAGAAATAGCGTTTTTTCCTAAAAGTGACTTTGGTCGTGGCAACTCAGTCACGCATTTCACTAGTTCTTCAGTTGCTAACAGTTCTTCAGTTACACCATAATGTTGTTTCCTCATCAGAAACATGCCTGGAGTTATGTTTTGTTTCATTCACACATGTTTAACACACAAACCCTGCATATTTAGGTTAAGTTCTTCTCTAAGAAAGAAAACACTCTGTTCCACCTTATGATGCCATATGGTAATATTCCACTGTGTTTTCAAACTCCATACACCTTCTCTAGAATCATATGGATGATTTCAACCCTTAAACCTCCAGTTTCTACTGAAGTAAAGCTAAAAGGCAGCCCTTAACATGAAAAGTACTGCTTCAGGACATCACATGGTGGAACAGAGCATTTTGAGCTTTGGAGATGTCGACAGACTAATAATGCAGGATTTCTTAAAGATGTGTGAATGAAATAAAACATAAGTCCAGGTATGTTTTTGATGGAGTACATCTAACATGGACTAAAGTTCATAAGAGCTAATTTTGTGTAATATAGGACCTTTAAATAAGGCGTCATATATCTGTGCAATGTATAGTTTTAAAGATCCTCACAAAATTGCACTAATGGAACAGTAAAATACACTTTTTATGAAATTCCATTTCTGTGGTGTACTGAGGGCTCACACAGCCAGGCAGCTCAGTCTTTATCTTAGCCTGAGTCATAAGAGGTATAATACTCCCTACAACAGGAGCAACACTATCAGTGTCTTGAGGGTTCATGTCTGGGTCCCGTTGGTGGTGGTGAATTCTCCTGTGTTAGGAGACTTATATGTATACAGTATATATAAAATCTGACCACATGCAACATTGTAAATTATATGCTGTCAGCTTCATTGTGCTGCCTCTAAGCCTCAAATCCTAACCCCCTCCATAACCCCATCCCGCCACGTGCACGAGTGTGTGTGTCACTCTGGAGAATGGTTAAGCAGAGGAAGGAGGGGGCGGGGCTTGTCGGGTGGCCGCTGGTGCAAACAAAACAAATCAACGCCAAGCTCAAATCTAACCGCGAGTCGGCGAGGTCCGTGCAATGGGGGCCATAGTGTGGTGTGGCCCCTTTTGTAATGTATATGCGCTGTTCACTGCGGGACCCTTTCCATGTGACAGGCCATTGTTAAGCCCCGCCCACGAGACAAGGCACCAAGTTGGACGGCAATTGTTTTATGGAAATGTGCGCAGGGCTGGCCGGGTGTCTGCCAGGCGGAGGACAGCCAAGGAGGGTGGGGTGGATTTGGGTAGGGTTGGGTCAGAGAGAGAGAGAGAGGGGAGGGGTGGGGCCTTGGGGGGTCTTGAGAGGGGTAGATGTGACGCCGACCCCAGTGGATGCCCCTGACCCCGAGCAGATGGCCAGGCAAGCCTCTCTCCTCTGAGCCAGAATTAATAGCGTGTGCCGTGTCACATTGTCTGACTGAGGCGAAAAGGGACCCCCCCTCTCTCCTCTCTCTCTCCAGTCCTTCTCTCACTCCTAACCACCTTTCTTTCTTTTTTCTGCTTCATCTTTGCATCTCATACACTTCAGACAGGGCATTTGAATCTGCCTTACATCGGCCCACACACTTGGCCTGACCCTCATTCTTACCTTTACATGCAAAACGGTGGCCGCCTGCGATCGGGCGAAAGAGAGTTCACAGAGGTTTGTTTCATTGTGCTCAAAAGATGAATAAATGCACTACTCTTAGACCTTCTGTTTCCCTGTACCATCTCTTTTCTGTATATAACCGTCTGCTGACATCTCTCAGCTCCACATTGCATCTGAACTATGACATTGCTTACTTTTCAGCACAATGTAAGTCCTAAATTCTTTTATGTAGCTGTTTCTATAGCCTGTGTCTCTTTTGCAGGTACACACTGTTTCAGTGTTCATCATTAGTTTATATACTCTCCACACACTATACCAGAACTTTGACCAATCAGATGCACAGTTTGGGGCCTTTGTCTGGTTTGTTCAGCATTAAATGGCAGGCTACCATACTCGAAAGAAACATTAGGACACATATTCTTATGTGTTTCTCCTTTCTCATAGACTGTATAAAGAAGTGGACGAAGAGAGTCACCCAAAGCTTTTGGCTCCAGTCAAATGAGGCCAGCAATTATAGGAGCAAATTTGGAGCTGATTAGGAATAGAAATTGATTTATGGACAAAATAGCCAAATAAAACTACTAGAATCATGTAAGGTGGGTTAATATGAACATTTTAAGACCAACATGATGAGGCTCACTACAGCAGTAACAGAGAGAGGGGTGACAATGTTTCATTGTAAAGTCAATTGGAGTCTCCCCTTCTTATTAGTAACAAAGAAGCCATAGATTAATTGTTGAAGTTGAAGTTGAACTTTTCTGATGGAGGGGCCACCACCTGCGCAACATCACAGGAAGTATTTTTTACTAATAAAAAAATGGCTGATACTGAATAAATGCAAGGAATATAAGTTTAATTACCTCCGCCATGGAGGTTATGTTTTTGCCGGCGTTTGTCTGTTTGTTTGTTTGTTTGTCTGTTAGCAACATAACTCAAAAAGTTATGGACCGATTTTGATGAAATTTTCAGGATTTGTTGGAAATGTGAAAAGGAAGAACTGATTTCATTTTGGGGGTGATCCGGAAGAAATCCTGGATTCTGGATCACTTTGAAATTTTTGTTAACATTGTGGTAAATGGGGCCAGAAATTTTGTTTCTCAATATCTCGGTTAATTATTGACCAAACCCCATGAAATTTGACTCAGGGATGGACAATGGGATCCTCTTTCATATTCCAAATTGAAAGATACGAGACAAATATTTATGGAAAACACAATTAATATGAGGGGGACTGTAGTCCTTGGCGGAGGTCTGTGCTCTCTGAGTGCTTTTCTAGTTCTGTACTGTGACTACAGCAAAACAATAACAATAAATATAATATGCATAATGCACCTTTAAATAAATAAATTCATATGGCACACATGTAAAGACCACAGTCAAAATACATTAGCTCTTAGCACTCATTTGGAGTTTTAACAGGTCTTCATCATGTCATTTATGTTTTAAACCCCCTCTAACTCCTCCAGCCTCCCCATTGGCTCTCTCTCCTCACACACTCACTTCACCCCTTCATTTGTTCAGGCCTCTCTTTAGAAGCACACTCATTCACAGGTTAGCCCACTCGCCGGGGCTTTATAAAGGGACAATTAAGGCACCTGCGCCTCTAATGCCCCCCGCTGCATGGCCTGCCCCCCGCTTCCTTCAGCGCACTACACTGTTCTCCCCCATGTTCACAAATTTGCTTCAGCTACTATTCCATGTAATATTAATATGATTATAGACCTTTGTAACTGACATTAGCTTTCCCTTAATAAAGACATTTGGACAGAATCTAAATGGTTCAACTGAATGTTCAAATGTTCAACTATTTGTTTATGAATCACTTCATTTCCAAATTTTTCAAAAGTCAAGCAGCAATATTTGAATGAATGGAAAGACAGCAGCTGTGAGCTCTAACCCCTATCAGAATCTCATTTGTATATTGTAATAATAATAATACATTTTTATTCATAAAGCACTTTTAAAAACAAGGTTTACAAAGTACTGTACAAGCAGCATAGAACAATAAAAATAGCATACAGAGAGCACACTAAAACAGACAGTGATGCAAACAATATAATTACATATAATAGAATAAAAATAAATGAGGAATAAAAAATGATACTGATGCTGCTTATCTTCTCAGGCAGGTCATTCCAAAGCTGAGGCTGAAACTGGACTGAAAAGGCTCGATCACCCTTCATCCGGAGCCTGAACTTTGGAACAGCAAACAGGGACCTGCCTGAGGATCTAAGGTTGCTGGAGGGCTCGTACGGGGTTAAAAGTTCTGAAATGTAAGTTGATACAAAGCGTAAACTAAGACCTAAAAGTGATCAGTAAAATCTGAAAATCAATTCTAAAACACACAGGCAGCCAGTGAAGGGAAGCTACACCAGGGGTAATGTGTTCTGGGCCTTCAAAAAAGGTGAGAGTGACTCACTGAAAAACTGTTGGATGGTGCTATTTTTTGACTTTAATATAATTTGAGAGGTCCTTGTTTAGTAGTGTTGTAGTCACAACTAAGTCAGTTCTATATTGTCAGACTATGTTAAAACAAAGCTCAGATTAAAGTCTTAGAGTAACAGCGCTTCAGACCATGCAGTGCCTACAGTTAGCGTCACACCCCCAGGAAATGTTGATGACATAAGCTGCAAAGTATGAATAGAGATAGATCATACAGAGATAAGCAAGTATTTTAAGTTTGACCCTAATTATACTTATGTAACATTCTGTGTCCATAACCCCACCTCTTCCCCCTCTCCACAGATTGAATGGCTGCTGTGTCTGCCAGTACCAGATCACCTCTGCACGTCTTATCACAGGAGCTCTTCCTCTGCAGTCTGTTGGCTACAATCCACTCCAAATCACTTTTAACTGTACTTTTTAACCAGGAAACTGCAAAATGATCAGCTTATAAGTTTTGAGTTTAAGCAAAGTTTTGTTCTCTTTTGTTATTTGAAATTTTAGCAGCTTGAACCTGTGTCCTTCTATAAAAACCTATCTTTATGCAATTATCCAGTCTTGTAGTAGGCCTACCGGGAAGAAATGTTTGAAAATATAGTTACAGGATTGTGACTACCTGCATTAAAGGTGCATTGTGTAACTTTAGAGGGCCCATCAAATGCTTGTCTCATAAAACCACGTGTTTTGAATTTGAATAAATGGAAAGCAGAACTGGTTAATGTCATACTGTGGAACATTCCAGGCAGAACAATGACATCCCCACAGAGTAACATGTTTGACTGAGCCTCCACCAGAAAAGTTACATAGTGTACCTTTAAAATGTACAGTAAAACACCCCCCCACACACAGCAGAGTACATAAGACTACTTTATGTTTATTTCATGGCCTGTTATGCATTTATTTACCTCTGATTAGAGAAGGAAAAATCACACATGCACCACAAGAGCTGTGTTTTGTTTTTTCTCAATAACACTGTGCAGTTTGAAGTCTCAGTATGGCTGTAATTGCTATATTGACTTATTGTTCAATAAATCATAGTTGGAACAATAATATTTGGGAGTCAATATTTAGTGTTGGTCCTTTTCCTTTGTAATTGTGGGGAACTGTTTGTTATTTGTGTGTACTACGATGAGACTTGAGCAGTAGAGGGTTGAATAAATAACTTCTATGACTCATAATATACTCTAAATAAATAACTACTACTATAACTCCTAAGTGTTTCAATCTGCTACTTATTTATTGCAGCTCATGGTTTTTTAAAGGGCTAGTACATTTAGACTATTTTTTTTTTTTTAGATAATCCTGATTTTGTGTTATTGTGTTAGGGGTATAAATTTGTTTAAATATATTACACTTCCAAAATGTTCTTATTTTGACAGGTCTACTCAATAATATGGTCAAACACCACTATACTTTTTTTTTTTTGGAAAGCACCACGAAATAAAAAAATTACAGCTCCAGAAATTACACAAATTTAATATATCAAAACACCTCAACTCTGAATGACATTTCACTTCCTATATCACGCGTAGTTGACTATTGTGAGCTTTTAGCCATGTTAGAATGTTGTTAACTCCTCAAAAACTTACCTGGAGTTGTATAGTCTGTCTAAATCTCCAAAGCTCAAAATACTTTGTTTCACCTTGTGATGTCCTGCTGCTGTAATTTTCAAAGATAACAGCTACATTTTACTTTTTTGTTAAGTGAAGATTGGCAAGTCCAGGGCTGAAATTATACAAATGATTCTAGTAAAGCTGTACGGAGTTTAAAAACACAGCAGAGCACTTCCTGTATAACCACATGACATCACAAGACAGAACAGATCTTAATTTGTCTGAGAAAAGAACTCAGCCTAAATAAACAGGGTTTGTGTGTTAAACAGGTGTGAATGAAACAAAACACAAGTCCAAGTCTGTTTTTAAAGAGGAAGCAACATTATACCATAAATTAGATAACAGCATAATATGGGCCCTTTAAGTAAAAATGTGCAAAAAATATACTTGAGCAAACTGTCTCGACACATGTTTCCTGTTCATGTTTGTGTGTGAGAAGGTCAGCTCCAAACAGCCAACTGTGCGTGTGATTTACAAGGTCAGAAGTGCAAGTACTGCTGAAAAACATGGCTGTACTTTTTGCCATATTTCTTTTGTTATAAACTCATGGAGCGATCTTTTTGTTGTAAGTTTGAAATTGTCTCGGTAAAAATATATAATTGTTCTCTCTATAGTGACATTATCAGCTGCTTGACAGAGGCAATGGGCCAAGCCAAACTCTGGTTATTTTGCTGGATGTAAATATCCCATGGGTTTTTAGCAAAGTGGATAACTTTACTTTTGTTGGAAGCTTCGATTGTTATGACATTCTTAAACTTTTCTGATTAGCCTCGAAAGAATTTTGATTTTCAGATGGATCATTTTTCTACAAAAGCAAAGTTTATAGACCCAATAGACCATTTAAGGGGTAAAGGTTTCAACCACATCCTGACAACAAAACATAAAAAGTCTATTCCCAAAAGTTTTCAATTTGGAGAACTGACCTCTGTTTTTTCCATTTGTTTTCCAACACCATGCATGTTTGTAAATTACTGCTTGTTTTTATTTCTTTTTCAGACTGCACGTGTTGTCTCATGCATTTGAAAATTTGACTCTTGAGCAACGTTGATTCATTTGGGGAAAGTCAAAGCTTGAGCAAAATAAAAAAAGTTTATTTGCAAATTTATGTCTTAAGGGGGTTAGTCATAGGTGGCGAAAGATTGGCAAGGACTGAAATTCTGGCCAAAAATAATAGAATTTGTTACTACTTTGAGGAATTTCTTCTTCAAATTATGTTATAATAGTAATACAAAGAAACAACATGTAGATCATATATATTTTCTATATGTATTTGGTCTTTGTATTATAATATATTGTGATGTGTGAGCTACCATATCCAGATAATTTCCCTTGTGGATCAGTAAACCAAAAAGTTACACAGTGCACCTTTAAGTAAATCTGTGTTCTACTTACTTCTTTGTCACAGAGCATCTCTTTCCCTGGTTTATGAGATGGCACTGAGCCTTATGGTGTGTCCTGCTGAACTTTCATACAATTTAGACATAATTTTCTACTTATAAAACTTTATATATAAAACTTTATATGCTGTTTGTATTAAGAAAAACAAAACAAAACATAATATAGGTCTATAGTTGGACTTTCACTTCACTTTCATTGACAGTTCCCCCATATTCCCCGCGGCCTGAAGTGACATGCTTTTCCCAGTGTGTTTTGTTCACATAAACAAAGGCATCCAGCCGTGTTCATATTCTTTACTTCACACAGCAGAAAGCCTCTGTCATATTTCATGATCCGACCTGCTTTTTTAATCAATCTACAATATCCCGAGGCAACGTTTATTTTGAAATATGGCGACAGGAAACACAGCCAAATCAGCCTGGCGATGTTGCAAAGCAGTTTCAACACTTTGGGGCTTATGAAAATGGATGCAGCATTCAATTCTCCTCTGAACCATTTGGGAAGTGCATGGTTGCAGAGTCGTTATTGGTGGAGACGTGCTGTTTTCTGACCTTTGCAAGTGTATCCAAGCCTGTTGTTTCATATGATAACTATATTACATTATTTGGTTATTGCGTTTTTTGAAAGCTCATGTCTCAACCCGTTACTGACAACAAAATGCAGAATGTGGAGTGAAAGCAATCATTAAATTATCTGATATTACACATGTGTATTATGAATATATCAAAATATAAAGAAGAAATAAGAGAAAATGCTCAGCTGCCCAATGATAGGCCCCAGATAAGACTTTGGTTTAAGACAGCTTGGAATAGAGACGCTGCTCCTCCACACTGAAATATTAAAGGTGCACTGCACAACTTTTCTGGAGGAGGGTCTGCCACCTACTTGTCTCCATGGAGATGCTATTGTTTTGCCCGAAATGTTCCATATCTGTGCCATTTATTAATTACAGGTGTTTCTGTTGCTTCCTTCTGTGAATAGGGGTGACTCTCCACAGATCTGAACTGTAATGTAGTGTATGCCGTAACCTGCTTGTCTCCCTCGTAATAGATTTAATCTATACTGTGGAACATTCTAGACAAAACAATAACATTTTCATAGAGACAAACAGCTGGTGCACACTCCACTAGAAATGTTACACAGTGCAGCTTTAAAGAGTTCCAGACTGATGTACTTTTTCCTGAGCCATTATACTTGTCTAACAGGTTACACACAGTATAAATAATGTATTATTTTACGTACATTTCTTCACCTCTCTGTAGAATGTAAGTCAGTCATATCTTGTTACTTATTTTCTGATGTCTAATACGAGCTGACTGAGAGCTGGTATAGCGTGCCTGTCCTCTCTTCAACACACACACACATACACAGAGGCACACGCACTTGTGCATGCACACACATATACACAGATCCGACACACGCACACATACTCTTGGCAGCTTGAACTCACCATGAACTTCAGTGCTAGAGGAAAGAGGGGAAGCGTCTCATCCTTCTTGCTTCTGATTTGTTCGAAAGCTTTGCAAAACGGTTTCCCCTGACAGTCTCCAAACGCATGGGCCTGTCTCTGTGACCGTCTGTGATGATCTCGTGATACAAAAAGGGGAAGCGCTGCCGAGGGAGGAGAGCTCTTTTGATGGTGGACTTTGAGACTCTATTCATCAGAGGCTCTGACCTGCGCTGCCCTGTGGGATTTCCCTGGAGCTCGGACAGCTGGACATGAGGCCAGGATGCTCCAGGACGCCCACTTTCCTCAGCTCTGACTGATGTTAGACAATTGTATTCAGTGGAGGCGGATGCTAATATTGTAAGGGTGGGATGAATAACAAATAGGGCTGAACACAAATGTCTATTTTAAAGTTGTACTATGTAACTTTTTTGTTACTGCTTGTTTCTATGGATAAGTCATTGTGAATGTTCCACAACACTATCTTACTCTACCTTAAATTTACTTAATTACAGATGGTTTTAGTGCTCAAAAATGCCTAGAAAAATAACCATTCTGACGGTGAGTGGGGTTGGTTCTCCACAGATATGACCTGTAATGGTTTGGATTGGCCTCCATGAAGACAGGAAGGTTTGTTATCATACTGTGACAAATTCCAGATGAAGCAATAACAGCTCCATGGAGAAAATTATTTGACGGAACCTCCACCAGAAAAGTTGTGGTCACAAATGGCAAATCACTCAGTCAGCATTATTGGAAAAATGTAATCTCATATTTTTATTGAAAGGGAAAATCTTGAGCAACTTAAAGGGCCCATGTTACATTATTTTCTGATCTGTTATAGTAAAATGATTTGGATACTTTCAGCCCTGGAATTGCCAATCTCTACTAAACAAAAGCTGTAGCTGTTGACTTTAAAACTACCACTTCACGACATCACAAAGTGGAACAGAGCGTTTTGAGTTCTGGGGATGTATACATACTAATAATAAAGGATTACTCTAACATGTGTGAATGAAACAAACACAAATCTGAGTATGTTTTTGAAAAGGTAACAACACTTTATCATAGCTTACAGCTCTTAAGAGTCAATCTTGCATAATATAAGGGAATGTCATCTAAAAAAATCTTTCTCTCTCTCTCTGATCTCAAACAGCCAGAGTCTGTACAACCAGGAAACATTTCATATGAAACATATGACACTGCTTAAACGAAGATATAAAGAAATGATTATAGTAAAGTATGCAGAAGAACTAGCTGTCATTATGAATGTACACTAAAACATTTCAGAAATGCAGTTATTTTTTTGTGTGGAGTGACTTAGTAGTTAAAGGGCCCATTAAGCTACTGTATTTTCTGAGCTATAGCTGTACATGTTCTTTGAGCAATAAAAATACCCAAAACTGAATGGTAGATGGATAAGTTTAATGCCAACATTTCAAACAAACAAGTTACACAATGCTTTAACTTTATTGTGATTTTAATGTCTTTCTTATTCTGTAAAGCTCTTTGAAGTCCTTTGTGTACAAATTGTGCTACACAAATATGTTTCCATTGCTTGACAAACAAACACACTCCTCGCATGTAAAACTATCTTGTGTAAAGTCTTCAGTCTTCAGTCTTCAGTGTCTCATAAAGTTTGACAGAGTTCAGCAATGTGTCAAACTCTAGTTTCCGATCATTCAGGTCTTGTGTGTGTCTGGCTTTTAACCCAGTATGTCTATGAACCTGCCATCACCGTCTATATAGTCTGTCACTTCTTGTTCACTTTCAGGAAGCCCAGACACCCCCTACCCTAACCCCCCTCTTTCTGTATCAAATTACTTCAAGTTAAGCAGTGCTTATCAGGAAACTGCACTTCTTTAATTGGTTGGCTTTTGTCTTTGTTCTCATTTTTGAGTAGAAAGAAGAAGTTATTTCTAGTACCTTATAATGAGTTTTATCTTGCTTTTGTGCAATGAAATTTGGTGTGCACTTTTCATATGTAGGTCAAATCTATAGATAACCAAAACTGTGGTATATTGGTTGCATTTGGGACGACAGTCTTTCTTTTTTGCAATCTGCCGCTTTCTTTGTGAGCAGCGAGCTTAAGTAGTCAAGTGAATGGATTTATAAACCTGGGGCTTATGGCTTAGTCATGATTACTTGAATTGACTGGAGTCTCTAATAAAAGAAATGGTTTTTGGCCTTAATGAGACAGCGGGCGTTAGGGGAGCGCAGGCAGGGGGCTACTTTGGCTTAGTAACAAAAAAGTGGAACAAAGAAGTACGGAAAGCATAAGAACCAAAATTTTTAATAACTAAATTAACTAAAGGGGATGTCAGGGTTTATGTTACTTTTATAAATTACACATATTATTACAACAGAAATTTTGGACAAACTAACCAGTGCACTTTGAGTATGTGGGTTTGTATTTGCATATGAATGCATTTGTATATCTATATATACTACATACTAATGTAATGTGTGCACAGTATATGACATTAAAATGTATGTCTTGAAGGAGTAATAAAAAAACAAATATACTTTTATACTATATACATACTTATACTTTTTATGTATCATAAAAGGGGCAGGAGGGAACTGGCAAGGCAATTTCACAACAAGGAAATCAGCAGAGTGAATTCTTTCATTAAGCTGGTTTAGACAGATATTGCGAAAATGTCCAAAATACATGATGATCCACTGGTGTCATAGATTTATAAATATATAGCAAACAAAAGCACAATATGTCTTCTTTAATGGAAGAGGCTAGTTGAGTATAAAAGAGCAGAAGGAAGGAAAAAATATTTGAGGGCAGGCTGAGGTCCCAGATTTGATGTCTTCATTTGGCTTTGTGCTGCAGAAACTCTCATGCAAATGCCTCAGCCACTATTTGATTCTTTTTTAACTTGGAAAATTCAACAATTTATACGTTTGACTTTTTATTACATGGCTTTATATGCCTACTATATAATCCAGATTGAATATACAGATTCAATCAATTATTGATTTAGGCTACTCTTCCAGTCTTTTAAAGAGCTGAAAATGCAGCTTTCTTTGAAGTTAAAATGAGTTTTGATGTGAACAAAGATACCTCAACGTATTCAAATTAAGGTATGCCAAGTGAGGAGAATGTACATAAACGTGTAGGCTATGGTTTTCCCATCCTGCCAAATTAACAAAACTCACCCTGTAAATTTACTGTGGGAATGTAACAGATAAACTTTTGGAAATACACTCAAACTAAAGATAAATCCCAAAAGGGTCCAAATAAGAGCTTTCCTTGTGCTTGGGCTAAAGTTTGGGTAAATCATGGGACTCCTCACTGTGATGGCAATGCTCTAATCTGCCCTGTATGGCCCATTCACATGTGTTCACACCATTGTTTCCACTTTCTAAACAGGAACTCCAATGTTACCCATGGGAAACGTCAATTTGGTGTACATAAACTACAGAAATCCTCCACTCATTCTTGCTCTAATGCAGTGAGACCTTGAAGTGCTTCTGATTTTTGTTTACATATTTGCCAAGAGTCTAGAAAGTAAAATATTTTGATCGAGTTGCTGGCATTACGTTATAGCACATACCCTGCACTCTCTCCACAGTTAACAGACCTAAGACCTATCCGCCATACAGCCTACTGTAAGCCTGGGAAAACGAAACCCGCATGTGCTTATTTTTAAACCAATTGGTGGACTAATTTATTACCCGGTAAACACGTGGGAATAGTATTTCAGCCCCACAAGATAAACAACTACTCCACTATAACATACTCTCGCGATACGGGATGCTCCCCCCAGTGCTTGCCTATTATGAGAGTTTTCCAGGTCTCGCGTGATCTCGGAAGTTTCCCACGCCTGTTGTTGTGGCGTCTGCCCTTTTCGCTCACTCTCTCTCCGTGTCGCTGCTGCCCGCCCGCCGCCTCCCCTTTTCTCATCTTCCTCACCCACCCCTTTCTCTCCGTCTCCTCGTCCCTGCACCTCAGTCTGCTTGTGTTGTCTCGGCGGATTGTTGGACTGTGGGAGAGAAAGGATATCGCGAGTATTGGAGTTTTGGTGAGAGTTTGTGGAAGATGGCGCCTGTTGTGACAGGGTGAGTCTGAGATTCGGGGTTGGAGCTGGGGATTGGAGTTCAACAAATTAGAACTTGTTATTATAAAAATGTCTTTGTTTTATTGACTAAGTTGTACCCGGGTATGTTTTTCACGTGCACCCCTCACTTGAGCAGCTATAAGTGGTTTCTTTGTTTCAGTGTGATCGCGTGTGAGTGTTTTCCTTTGCCCAGTTTCTTGCCCGAGCTGACTTGCTGCAGTGTTTTGTGAGCTAGCCCAGCTAAGCGATACTTCACCCTCGGTGGTCTTTCCCGAGACAACAGCGAGCTCTAGCTAGCAGCGTGATCAGCGTGCTACACACTCCAGCACTTGAAGCATGTTCCCAGAGCGGGTTTTTCGGTCTCTACATTTTCCTCTGCTCTAACACAAGCAGCGCCCCTTTTGTACGGAGTCCTGCATTTGTTTTCGAAGCGTGCTCTGCGCAAAGCCTGCACGTTTACTACTGTGACTAAACACCGCTAGCTGTCCGATAATGGAGCCCAGCTAGCGACATGGGATAGAAACACGTTGTAGCTTTGTGAGCACGGCGTTCTTTTACCACTGTTTATGAAATATTGACACCACGAAGCACTTCCCTATGCACACAACGTGCTCGCCGAGATTCTTGGAGCGTTGAATTGGAGCACTGTAATTTAGCGTATTATCAAGTCCTTCCGAAATGTCTGTATCGTCGGACTGTGTGGCTGATCGGTAATGTTAAATAGCGCTCAAAAGCAGTAGAAATCCTTAAGAAGATGTGGAGTGCATCTAAGGACAGAATAGTGATAAAGGCTTTGCGTCGCTGCTGTAACAGCTATGCAAATTTATCAAAACCTTCCAGTCATCCTGACCCAGTGATGAACTGTCGGACTTAATTTGTTAAAAAAAAAAAAAAAAATCTCGAGTCTTCTCATTCGAAATGTATGTTCTGGGGCTATCTGTTGTTCATTCATTCGTTTATGCTGCACCTTCTATGAGAGCAGATGAATTTACTACGCTATTACGTTTGTTTTGGTTATAATTGTGATTTACCACATTTCTCCTGTATATTAGTCTTCACACAGTGTCCTAGACGGGCTGTAGGTTGGACAGAGTTTTGCTGTGCTATAATCCTAACAGACAGCTCAGTGCGTAACAGACATTTGCTGGAGGTGTGTGCGTTGTTTGGGGAGGGGATGTTTGCATGTTCATTTGGGGCTTTCCAGCAGACCTGAACTGATTTCAGTTGAGGGGGAGCAAGGGGGAGGCAGAGGGCAGCCGGGTCAGGTCTGGGTGGCTGGCCACCTGTCCAGATGATATCTGCAGATTCATGTGTGTTTGACTGTTTGCGTGAGTGGGGTCGATGCTTGTGTGTTGGCTTGGGCTGGTGAGGTTTAACAGAAAATTAAGTGCCATAAGGAGGTCTTTATTAGCTGAGGGTAGGTCATTCACTGTAACGGCCAAAGGCATCGCAGGCTGACCACTGCTTTGAATGCTTCTGGCTTTGCCCAGGGAGGGGCTGCAAACACTACTGCTAATGGGATTATGACTGGATAAATGGTCATAGGAGTGCCTTTGATTAGACCACTTTGTGCATGAATCAGAGTTAGCTTCGAACAAAATGTTTGTTAACTGTTTTGGGCATATTTGTGGGTCATATTTCCTGATTAAATGACCAGAAGATATTTTTTTGCAATTGCATCATACTAACAAAAGTCACAGTGATGTGCTCTTTTTGAATCAGAAACGGATCATTTGTAAAAAGTCCAGTTTGTGTTTACTCTGATACCGTACAGGTTTTGCATAATTTTCAAAATATGTACACTTAAGTATCTTATCTCTATTTTGTGCCACCTTAAACACTTTTTTGGTGCAATATTAAATACAGTAATTGTTTATTATAATTTTATGTGACCACTGGTAAATGATCTGTGTTTTCACAATATTCCTATGCTTCATAAAGCATGTATTAATCTGCTGTTTTCATTACAAACATTGCCTGTTTGTTGTAAGTGATAGATGGCCTATAATGTACTTGGAACACGTCAGGAATCAAAGCGTGGATTATTCCAACATGTAAATTTCTGACATCCCACAAATCTGATGATACATTTAATACATTTAATTTCAGGGCCTCTTTTACCATGTTGTTGTTGAAGGCAAAATAAAACAAAATGCTTGGGGAGAAGACAGTGTTGCTTTCATACTCTGTGCCTGCTGCTGCCAGAAACCTGCAGTGTAATAGCTGAAAGAGCACCTCTGTTCACCTGGGATGATAAAAGCATGAATCACTTATTTCAACACCACTCTGCCTTCAATGTTCCCTGGGGGAGCGGGATTCCATTTAGCTCCGGTCTGGTCATCCTACCACAGCCACCCATGTTCTCTCCCCCCTTGAGTGTTGTCTTTGAGCCAAATCCGGGCATCTCCACTCTGGTGTAATGATACCGTTGAGCCTTTCTCTGCGCCACAAATGCGTGTTGTATCCTTTGAGGGGAGTGCACGCGTGGTTTGAGCTGCCGCTGATACAGAGGTGAATGGTGTGGAGAGTGGAAGGTGGGTAAGTGTGCGCGCGCATGCATGTCCTCCCTAGGGTCCTCTCCTCTTCCCCGAGTCGCCTTCATGAAAAGACAGGTTCAGAGGGAGCAGCAGATGTCGAAGCACTGACCTTTATGGTGGGCTAGAGTTAAAAGAGTCCCTCAGAGGCAAACTCAAAGATAACTCAAAGGTTTAAGCAGGCTTATACATTAATAATTGCCCTTGCCATCACACACACAAAGGGTTATTCTTTTAAAAGTAAAAGTAAAGTGTATTTTTTTTGTAAATAAATGACTCAAGATGGCCAGTTCAACTACAGTTCAGCTAATGCCACAGACTATTTGAAGGCACTTGGAAGAATGCTTAGAGATCTTTTACAAGATTTAACGTGGACATCTTGTAATGTCATTAGGTAAAAAGTGAGAAAGTAACTCTGATAAGTCCATAACGTATAAAGTTTTCCTAAAAGAGCACTATCCAACTTTTCTCGTGTGTGATCATCCACCAGCTTGTCTTTATGAAAATATTGCGTTGCCTGGAATTTTCCACAGTACGGCATTAAACTTCTATCTCCTTGGTGACAAGCATGTGACCAGCCACCAGTCCAAGTTACTAAGCAGATCTGTGAATACTAAGATATTTCTAGCTATGAAAATACCTGTAATCGAATATATACAAGTTCAGTGACATACTGTGGAACATTCCTAGCAAAACAGTAATGTTACCATGGACACTAGTGGGAGGTGGCAACCCCTCACCACATAATTTACATAGACTTAGACAAACTTTATTGACTCACAAGGGAAATACATACAAATAGTACACCTTTTTAAATAAAATCAACCACTTTAAAGTTTAAGACTGTATATGATTACACACAACATTTTTTGTCACTTTCTCCCAACTTTGTATTGATCTGTTGAGTTCGTCTCATATTTTGGACGGTTTATTGTGTCATATAGAATGGGATTAAATTGTCACGTTAGATAAACTATAGGGAAGATCCACGCTACATGATCGGTCACCCTCAGAACTGCCCCGAGTCCACTCAGAGCGGTGAAAACCTTCAAAGTGTGCCGGCATCACGCCAGAGGGGAAGTATAGCACCAACTCAAACATGCCTATGCCAGACCTCTTGAGGGGCTCTGAATCTCCTGTGTACAGTAGCCCTTTGTTGGAAGTCTGCACATATATCCATTACTCCACATGATTGAACTATTGCCTGGAGCCTACAGTTTCAGATTCAACTTGTTCTGCAATGACGAGTAGCCTGTTTGTGTCTGTCCGTCTCAAGGGAGCCACCGCACGAGACTCCTCAGGCAGAGAAGCAGCATTTGTCTTTGATTTAAAGGTGCATTGTGTAATTTTCTGGTGGATGGTCCGTCAAAAACCTTTTCTCCATGGAGATGTTGCGTCATCTGAAATGTTTCACAGTATGGCATTAATCCTTTCTATCTTCATGGCCTGCTTCCTGCTCAGAATGCCTGTTTTTCTAGGTATTTTAGAGCTGTAAAACCACACGTAGTTGAATAAATGTAAAGAACCGCGGTTTAATCTTATACCGTGGAACATTCCAGGAAAAGCAATGTCACAGACATAGAAACAAGCAGATGATGGTCCCCCCCCAACCAAAAAGTTGCATAGTGCACGTTTAAGTCAAAGTTGGACCCTCTCCAAACTAGTGTCCTTTTTGTCTTGGTCCTGAGCCATGTTGCGAAAACCAGATACACCGTAGCAGGATGTACTTTTGCTTTTTCGTTCCTCTCGTGCAAGACTGGAGAAGGTAGGAGATTTGGGCCAATTTGACATGGATGTTTTTGTGAATGAGTTCTTTAAGAAATATTTCCACACAAATCTGTACTATGGAGCCCAACCTAAAGCATCATTTTTGCAAGCCATGTTTCTAAATCCTGCTACAACCTTGATGACAGTTTAAACAGCATCCTAGCTGAACTGTGAAAGAAAAATTTTAATGACCGTGTGACCCACTTTTTGCAAAGTAGTTTAGAATATGCTTTAAGAAGAATGACAAAAAAGTCATACCTGACAATTGCTAAGCCCAGCTTATTGAGAAATGAATCTGACAAATATGATAGTATTTGAGTGCCATTCAGTATAATTATTCGCTACATTTGGACTGATAATGTGATATGAAATTGATTAAAAATAAGAATCTTAAGTGTACAAATATGCCAGTTTTATTGATCATAGCTTTTGAAATGAGAACAAAGCAAAACATTTGACTTTGCTCTGACTGGCTCTGTTGCTAAACTTGTATTTCTGATTCAATAGCTGTTATGTTACCTATTATTTACTTGGACCACATTAGTCTGAGCTCATCCTTGGTCTAATACCCCAACAGACACTACTGTTCCACATAGTTCACAGCACAGAGCATTTTAATGTAAATTTAAGGCCGGTGTGGTTTTGAAAACAAGCCTGGCGTCATGTTTGAGAGAAGTCCAAGCCCTCTTAGTGTTGTTGT